AAAACCATATTTAAAATGAAAAATAAAAATAAAAAACAATAAAAAGTAACAAAAAGAATCAAATTAATAAAGTACAACAGAACAAAATCTGGAAAAAAAAAATTATTCCCCAATTCTCACCTCCCGCCCCAGTGACAGTAGATCATACTAGCCCTTGGATGGACTCCATCCTGCTCTGGGTTCCCCAGGCCCGCTGGCAGAACCAGGTCTTCAGGGCCTTTCGGAAGAGTATTTGGAGTGGGGGCGGTTCTAATCTCCGGGGGAGCGATGTTCCAGAGGGAGGGAGCCACCATGGAGGGGTGGCCCTTCGCCTGGGTACGTGATGGTGTCCATGACCAATATCAACAGAAGAGGTGACAGTGCAGAGCCAACCACCACCGGGAATCGGTTGGGGAGCCCGGCTCGGCTGCTGGTGTTCTTATGTAGCATTTGGACCCAGTCAGTGAGCGGTTCAGGTACTCCGTGGTCCCAGAGGGCAGACCAGATCATTACCAGATTTTGTAATGTGGTGACCAAAACTGGATGTGCTATTCTTAGTAAGGTTTTATAAAGAGGTACTAATACTTCACGTGGTCTTATGCCTCTGTATATACAGCCAAGGATTGTATTGGCTTTTGGGGCTGCAGCAGCACCCTGCTGGCTCATATTTAGGTGACCAGCCACGAGCACTCCAAAGCCCCTCCCACCAGTTATAGAAAGCTTCCCCCCCCCCCCTCCAAGTTTTTGCTGTGAATTTTTGACCAGTCAGGCTGCTGGTCATTTGCTGGTGCTACAGAGATGCGGCTTTCCTGGGACACGGCAACATTCAGGGTCCGATTGTTTCCTTCTGCCCATGTGTGGAGGAGTTTGGGGGCTCGGTTTGCGCAGCTGTCCGTAGGGGGAAGGTGGGCTTCTGGCTGGTGCAACTGACTAGAGACGCTGCTCTCTTCCTTCTTGCTGGCATGGCGGGAGCCGGAAGTGGGTGCCAAGCGGACGGGCTTTTCACAGCAGAAAGAAAAAAAAGCGCCATTTGCTCAAATACGGGGGAAGGCGTGGAAGGGACGGTGCAGGGACTGGAGAGAGGATGAAACGGATGGAAGCTGGATTTTCTTACCCGGGGCATCGCCTCTGCCCCCTTTTCCGATTTCCCCTCCTGTCCCAGTCCGGCTCCTTCCCTCCCCCGGCCCACTGCCGCCCACATCTGCAGGGTGAGGTGGTTGAGGCCTGGTGCACGCGCCCGCCTGTCGGGTTTCCAGCCATGCCTGTACATGAAGCGCTTTGGGTGCAGGAAACTCTGCACATAGGCAGATACATGCCCATTTGAAGAGGAAATGCCTCCTGTCGGTGGTTTTATCTCGTGGGCTCCGTCCTGCAGGGACAGGCGCTGCCCCTTTGGGCCCCCCAGGGCCCCTCTGCCCCTTCGCCTCCTTTGCCCAGCCTTTCCACGCACGCACGTGCTGGTGGGTTCTTAGGCAGTTGGGGGGCGGGGGGGGGGAACCGGATGAAAAGAATCTTGCTACAAACATCTGTGCCTCCACATTATGTTTGTGGTTGGGTTTTTTCTCCCTTCGCGGCATCCGTGCGCCCATTTGTTTATTATTTATTTGTTTGCGGTGGTTTGTTAGTGGCTCAGTTGCTAATGGCTCCGAGTAGCTTTAACCAAGCAGTGAGACAAAAGGCCGAGCAAAGCCCCCCCCCCCCCCCCCCCCCCCCCCGCCGCCCCCCACCCGCGGCGGGCCCCCCCCCCCCCCCCCCCCCATGGCTGGCAGCAGCCAAGGCTGGTGTGGAGGCTCCCCTCTGCAGAGCCCTGTTGTTGTGGCTCCAGTGGGGAAGGGGTCCTGGATATTGGGGGGCCGGCTGTTCTGGGGAGGAGGCCACCAATGAAAAGGCCCTGCAGAAGCTCTTCTCTTGGTGGGGTCTCGGGGGTCTTCAAGGAAGGCTCTGAAAAGGACAGCCGGCATCCAGGAGCTGATTTGGGAGGGGGGTCCCAGGGGGAAGCCAGAACTCCCTGGGTTGCTGCACATTCATGCCAGATGCAGCTTCCAGATGTCACTGATTCCAGCCCTGACCAAAGCCAGCCTCCTCCTCCTCTTTTCTTTTTTCTTTTTTTTATTTATTTATTTTCCTTCTGCTCCTTTTCCTCCTCCTCCTCTTTTCCTCCTCCTCCTCCTCTTTTCTTTTCTTTTTTATTTTTTTTATTTTTTTTCCTTCTGCTGCTCTTCCTCCTCCTCCTCCTCCTCTTTTCCTCCTCCTCCTCTTTTCTTTTTTCTTTTCTTTTTTTTATTTATTTTCCTTCTGCTCCTTTTCCTCCTCCTCCTCCTCTTTTCCTCCTCCTCTTTTCTTTTCTTTTCTTTATTTTTTTATTTTTTCCTTCTGGTCCTCTTTCTCTTCCTCGTCCTCTCCTCCTCTTTTCCTCCTCCTCCTCCTGTCATTTGGCCTTAAAGTCTACTTGGGGGCAGAGAATGAGCCGAACAGAGGAATTAATTCTCCTCCTCCTAAAATAAGAGCCAGCCGTGTGGCAGTTTCAAGGCTGGGGAGCCGCGGCAGCCTCTCCCTCCCTCAACCCGAGAGAGGCTCTGGGGCGAAACGGTCCCCAAGGGCAGCTGAGGGGCATCACCACGTCCCTCTGCCCAGACATGGCCTTGTGCCCTAGTGCTGCTCATAGGAAACCCACCGGTCCGTGGCAGGTACAGATCTTGTCCCAATGAGCAGCCAAGGGAAGCTGGGGGCAGGCATGGCTGCCTCCTCCGGAGGACGAGGCCCAAGAGCTGCCCTTGGGGGGTGACAGGTTTATTGGGCCTCCTGCAAGGGAGATCGGGTGGGACAGACACCCCAAGGTCAGCCCAGAGACCAAGGACGGGCAGGGGGTCCCTGTCTCACCTGACCGGGGGGGGGGGGGGCGACCCCCCCCCCCCCGGGGGGGCTCCTAGGGGGAGCAGCCTCCTCTGGGTTTTCTGGGTAGGGGTCTCCTTGCCCTGCCCCCCTCCCTCTGCCTTTCCCTCTGCTGCTGGGTCCCTGAGGGCCAGTCTGTGCCCGGGAGGAAAAGGGATTTCTCCTCGGCCGGTCCCAGCACCTGGAGGAGCCCAGCTGGGCTGGCGGGCTGAGCAAGGGCCTCTTCTCCCCTGCCAGAGGAGGGTGCCGAGGGAGGGGCTGTGGGGGCCCTCCTGGCAGATGAGGGGAGAAGCCCTTGCGCTCCCCCAGATCTGGGAACGAGCAGCTGCTCCACAGTACTGGAGTCGGAAAGCTTCCTCCTGACAAGGAGGCCGCGTCCTGGCAATGGGGCATCGGGCATTTCCTGGGGGGGGGGGGAGAGCACCTCTCTCTCCTTTCCCACAAGACCCTCACTCCGGTGGGCAGCTTCAGGGCACACAAAGAGGCTGCCCGGGACACATCCCAGGGCAAGGCTTCCTGGCTTGAGCAGAGAGGATCTCAGGGTCTTGGGTGCTGGGTTCAGGTTCAGAAGAGGCCTGCTCCACCACTAGGAAAGCCGGCTTCCAGCCGGGGTGGGCACTGGGTTGCCTGGCATCAGCCCAATCCCCTGCCCGGCATTTGGGAAGTCAGCTGCGTACCCCCGCCCTTCAACCCACCCCTGGCTGCAGCGCCAGCCCTGTGGGGATTGGGGGGAGGGGGGCGGTCAGCAGCCTTGCCCTGGGATGGCAGGCGGGTGGAGAGAAGGGGCTGCCTGCCGCTGACCTCCCAGCGCTCTTGCCTAGCGCTCTGCCAGCCCAGAGCCTGGCCACGTGACTCTGCCCAGGGCAGAGGAAAGAGCGAAGCTGTGATCCCACTTCCTGGGGGTTGGCGGGGGGGAGGCCTGGTGGTGTGTCCTTCAGCACTCCGGGCGGATGAAAGGCGATTAGGAGTCAATCTTATTAACCACTTTGCAGCCTCGGCTGGCCGTAGAGACAGCGAAGGGGGACGGAGCCCTTCTCCTTCCCGACACTCTGCTCCAAGGTGGCCAACTGGCCCTCCCCCCCCCCCCCCGCCGGGGGGGCCAAGGGACACTGGATCCGGGAAGGTCCCATGGGTGCCATTGGGCTGGTTCTGGTTTTCGACTTGTGACCCTTCAGAGGCAGGAAGGCCCTCAGCCGAGAAAGGTGGACGTGAACTGGGTCACGGGCAGGATCAATGATCCAGTGGGCTGAGATCAGGTGGGCAGGGCTGACCCCAAAGCCCCCCCCCACCTATGCTAAGGAGAAAATCCTTTTGCTTTTTGTAAAAACCAGGGCAGAAGCTCGGAACAAGACGGGGAGAGGAAATGGGGTTTATTCCACGTCTCCAGAAACCGCAGAATTAATTGCCAGGGATCGGGAGGAAAAGCCCAGGGCTGGTAGAGTCGGTGGTGGGGACGGACTTTTTGAAGGACTTTCGTATTTATTCTCTCTGTGCAAGTTCAGTAATCGTCTATTTTGTGCAGCTTGGATCTTTCGATGACAGAGTTGGTTTTTAAACCCAGCGCCATCTTATAATCTGCCTTGTTTCCTCATAATTAAATACCTTTATTCCTGCCAGATCCTTGTAAGTGATTATATTTGAACACATTTTCATTTTTATCTCTTTTATCACTCAATGTTGGGAATGTCACTTAAAGCTAAAAAAAAAAAAAAAAGATTCTATCCCTTTAAAAAAAGAAAAGAAAGATTTTATCTACCTTATATGGGCGTGTCCTACCTCCCGAAGGAAGGGTCGATCCTATAGTGCCAGGGATGGTTATAGAATTTATTTCATTTCCCCCCGCCCCTTCATTTTGTCAAAAAAGGAGCCCCAGGGAACTGGCCTCCGGAGTCACTTCTCAGCCACGGCCTCCATCTTGGGAGAAGAGAGAAGGAAGGAAGGAAGGAAGGGGTGTCGGGGCCAAGGCGGAGAACTGAGCTCCTCTCCCAGGTTTCCTCCCGATTCCGCCTTCCGAATCCGGGGAGGGTGTGTGTGTGTGTGGAGGGGTGGAATCTGGGTGGTTTCCGATGTGGGCGCGTCCTCGGGGCTCCCCTCTCCCCCCGCTGAGGCGGCTCTGCTGTCTGCCGCAGGTGACGTTTACCAAGCGCAAGTTTGGGCTGATGAAGAAGGCCTACGAGCTGAGCGTCCTGTGCGACTGCGAGATCGCCCTCATCATCTTCAACCACTCCAACAAGCTCTTCCAGTACGCCAGCACAGACATGGACAAGGTGCTGCTGAAGTACACCGAGTACAACGAGCCCCACGAGAGCCGGACCAACGCGGACATCATCGAGGTAGTGTGCCCCCGTCCTTGCCCGGGAAGGGAGGGGGCGGGTCCCACGCCTGCGCTCACCCTCCATGCCGGCCTGCAGAGCCACCCGCCCAGCCGTGCGGGAGACCAGCTGGAGAGCCTGGCTTGGCTCGGTGGATCTGATCCCTGCCGGGGCTCCGGGGAGAATCGGGGTAGGATTTTAGCCTTGCTCCGTGGCCGTTGAGCTGAGCAGGTGTGCCCGGGATCCTAAGCCGCAGGAAATGGGCAAACCCTCACCAGCCACAGTACCTGGAACTGGCTCCATTCAGCCCCGCAGGGGACACCCTTCAGCGGTTGTTCCGAGGTGGCGTGGTTCTTGGTCAACGGCCTGGGACCACGGTCAGGGCCGCCACTGTGGCCACGCAGGGTGTGGATCCTGCATGCTCGGGAGGGCTGGCCGGAGGTTTAGTGAGAGAGTCCTGGGAGGGAGGCTGGCCGGCTGGCCTTTCCCTCCGGCCCCCTCGGATGGCTTCCCAAGGAGGGACCCAGGGAGACACGCCACTGCCGCCATTTCTTTTGTCACCTTTCAATGAGGATTTGCCCGTGGGTGGCTCTCCCTCTGCGCTTGGCAGGGTCTAGACAAATGAATGGTTTGGCTGGGTAATTATTGACATTACAAGCGAGCAGAAATTAAGGCACACAAAACCTTTAGTCATTCAATTTATCTGCTCGAGATGGGAGAGACCAGGGACGGGGGAGGGATCGTTCTGCAGGGAGGGGGTGGGGATTTTGTGCCAGGTGCACACTTAGGCATGCACTTGCACTCTCGCTCACATGGACGTTCACGCACGCACACACACGCACACACACAGAGTCACTGCAAGTGGAACAAAATATAAAGAGGTCTAGGACTTTGAGAGTCGTTTCCCGTGTGGGGAACAACACTTGAGCTGTTTAGGAACATCCAGCCTTCCTTGGCTGCCCTTTCAAAGTCCACCGTGAGGCTAGGAGGGCTTGTGGGTGGGGTGTGTGGGAAGAGGCTGACCTGCCTTCTCTCTTTTCTGCCCCAGGCCACCCACCACCAAAACAGGCCTCCCCCACAGGGCTGCTGGAGACCCTGCCAGCCAGGGAGCGTGAGGCTTTTTGGAGAGGGGCTGGTCTTTGCTGGGGTCACCCGTGGGATGGGCCTGAGCTTCTCCCCTTGCACCCAGCTCTGTTGGCAGTGCCCCGGTTGGCCCTTCATTGCAATCCTTTGGCGAAGTGCGGGGACTCGGGGCCCGTCCCCGGATGGCCGTCGTGGCCGAGCGAAGGATCTTCTGGCATGAGCTTCCCGCAGCCCATGCAGGAGAATCCGCGGCCGTCTTGACCCCCCAGCCCCCAACCGGAAAGGGCCTCTCCTTGTTTCCTATCAAGCATCCTATTGGGCGGAGCAGCCTTTCCAGGTGGCATGGCTGTCTGCCCATGTGAGGAAA